AGCGCTATCCCATTCAGAGCCTCATGAAGATGAGTGAGGTCTTGGGTCCCCCTTAGGGTTTAGGGTTTAGGGTTTAGGGTTTAGGGTTTAGGGTTTAGGGTTGAGTGAGGTCGTGAAGAAACCCAACAGCCTGAGTTTGGGGCTTGCCGCTTAGGGCTCAGAGGGTTTAGGGAAAAGGTTCTCGAGCTTATAAATTTGAGGGATCAGGCAGTAACGGAGCCTGACAGAACTGAAGCTTGACCCCTGAAGAATTGAAAGTTACGGGGGGGGGGGGCCTTTTAGGCCGCACAGACATAAATCCTGAATCCTACAAGCTATTGCTCCTTCCACAGCTGCCCTTCGAAACATGCCTGCACCCTGGACACGTATTCGGTCAAAGATGCTGAGAGTTGCAAGGCTCTTTAGAGAGCTCTTGGTGGGGCCGTATTTGAGACAAAACATGTCGTTTGTCGTGTGTCCCAGTTGTGGTTTGCGTTAAGTTCATTAACAAACACCCAAATCTAGGTTTGAATGGCCCAGCACTTGCATGAGCGGCATTTGGAAATTTCATCTTGCGGCTATTGGATTGGGGTTCAGGATTTGAATGGAATTGGGATCCAAACCCTAAGCCCTGTAATCCCAGTACCGCATGAAAGCTTTGTTTCCGGAAAGCCTGCATCCACCAGTTTCTCTTGATGTCCATATTGCTGGCTGTTCCTGCAGACGTTTCTCGAGGACTTCAGGGTAAAGGTTGGAAGTTGGAACACATTGCGCTGCAGGGTTTACAACTCACTATTCGGATTTTGTAGGGGTTTAGGGTTTAGGGTCAAGGCTCTGTCTCGTGTTCAGGGCTTGTAAAGGCGTGTTGGCTGGTCCTCCGAATGGTGCCCCAACCGCGTAAAGCGCCGAGGACTCCGTGAGCATCATTGGCTTGTTGTGCCCACCTTGTACTGTGTGTTCTGCACCCCCTAAACCCTAAACCCAAAACCCTAAACAGTTATGGGCGAAAGATGGAAATGTATATTGATAGCACCTTATGACCTGCAACCCAAACCCGTGAATTCAAAACCCAAGTCCAAAACATTGAGCTGCTAGGCTCGAAAAGTCTGAAGTCGTACACCTGCAGTGCCCTGAACTCTAAAACGCGTCCCGTCGGCATACTCCCTACAAGCACCTTTAACCTGCTTTTTGTTGCAGGATGTTTCGATCACGGAAACTTATAGGAACTCTATGAAACCGTAGGTAACGCAGAGATCTAACATCCCCTTAAAACTACATGAAAATGAAAGCCCCGCAACCCTTGTTTAGCTATTAGGACCCTATATTGCATCAATGGTAAGTTAAGGTCGACAAACAAACCAAGGCCACCTTGGGGGGAGCAATAGATGAAGTAGAAGTCGGGGGTACTCCTGTAGTCGCCAGCAGGACCGACGTAGTTTCCTCTGAGGAAACTCTCTTGCTTTCGGGGATTTAAGATTCTAAATGGGGCCTTTTAACTTTTAGGGTTTAGGGTGTAGAAGGTCCGGAGTTGCGGGCTTCGGGTTGGGTTTAGGGTTTGGGGTTTGGGGTTTAGGGTTTAGGGTTTAGGGTTTAGGGTTCATAAGCTACCATGGCGCCTCGGATGCGATTCACGAAGTAGTTGTCCTGTGGAAGCTGATTTTCACCAAATGGAAACAGGAGGCCCCAGGAATAAACGGTAATACCAACCCAGTCCACCACGTCGTCACCAGGGTAGTAAGGCGCGTAGGGATCGTCAAACTTGTCGAAAACCTGAGCTGTTGAGCAGCAAATTTCTGGAATTGGCTTAGGATTTAGGGTCGAGGACGGATGAGCATCCGGGTGTGCATTCCGGCTTCAGTACGATAGTACCTGGGGTACATACGGAAACAGTCGATCGCCACTAGCTGGCTTGTAGCTGATAAGAAGAATGCCCGTTCGCACTAACCAAGAACTCAGAGTAATTTCAAGAAAGTACTCTGAAGTCAGAGGAACTCCATCTCCGTTGGTATCCACTTCTGAGAAGCAAGACATCCCCTGCTGACAGCTGTAGGTGCCACCGGAGAAAGGATATCCACTACCTTCGTTGACAGACCAAACCATTCCACTGCGAGCAGTGATTGCGTGAATGGCTCCTGCTGGGTAGCGTACTTGGAGGATCATGGGACCCAGCAAGTCAGACTATAAGGATGTGAATTAGGGTTAGAAGCAATTAATAACTATAGTTACCCTAAACCCTAAACCCTAAACCCCTGAAACCTAAACCGCACGTAAAACCATAGTTACTAGGTCCCTTGATCCTCCAAGTAGGGCCTTTGGAGGCTTTAGGTTCAGACCGTTTTCAACTGTAGGCCCCAGGTGTTCTGCCTGCTTCTTGCTTTAAGAACTACCCATAGGCTCTTAAGTAGTTCCTTTTTGTGGTTTATATTTAAGATCCTGTAAGGTAATCCCAGAAAGGAACTACTATGGAGCCTTTGGGCAGGGCTTAGGGTTTGGGGTTTGGGCTTCAGCTTCTGCTAGTTCTACGCCAAGAGCAAAGACGTTGGGCCATACGTTCAGAAAGCTGCGTCTGAAGTCTAGTGCTGGATACTAGCACAGGCATTCCTCGATACTGCAGGGTTCGATCTTCGATGACGATAGCCACCATTAACTTCCCCTGACACAAAAACGCAGGGATAGACAAGCCCCACTGCTTCTTCTGATAGTTGCTTAGTTACTTCTACTCCTTCGCCTAATCTTGAACCTTGTTCGTACTATTGATAGCTCAAAATTGTCATACTTTCCACAATATGCCTTTGCCCCCGTTTCGCTACCTTTGTGCCTTGCCCCACCCCCCCCCCCCTCACCCAACACCACCTCACTCAGACAACGTCAGAGGCTGGATTTAAGGCGCCTTCTTCACGCAGCATCGGGTGCATCGTCCCTACACCCTTGTTAGAGTTTAGGGTTCAGGGTTTAGGGTTTAGGGATTTTTTTAACCTCAACAGCGAAGCCCCCGATCTGCAGCGTCGCTGGGACACCTCACCCGAAGCCATTCGCCCCAGTCCCAAACCCGAAACCCCCTGGACTCCCAAGAAACGAAACCCTAACACCGGATAAACACCCTATGCTCTAAACCTTACAGCCACATAACCTAGGGCCTCAAATCCTCAAAGGTTAGCCTGCAGGCTTGTGGTGTATAGTATAGTCTATAGTATAAGTATACTGGAACTAAAAGGGGACACTGTTTCCAATTCTTCCGACCCCACCCCAGTTTCCGATGCCTCGCCTGCCAGCATTCGATATGTGGATCTGAACTCACTCGGCCTCTGCCAGCACAGAGGTGTTTGTTTTAGGTTCTAAGGTGTCTACAAGTCTACCAGCTTCAGACGGAGTTCAAGGTCAAGTGCAGGCGTTTAGGGCTTGGGCTGGCTAAGGCTTAGGCGACTACAAGGTTTATCAGATGAACTTCGGAGGTGTCGAAGGTGATGGCAGGGAGTCAGGTTTACAGCTCTGGCCCTTGACAATAGGGTTTGGCCTGAGCTCGAAATCCCAAACCCTGAACCTAACACGCTAGATGCTCGCAGTCCCTTCAGACACACCTAGATGGACCTAACTACAACGGCACACAAGGATCCTCACCTATATCCACCCCCCACCCCCCCACGGCAAATCCTTAAATCCCGAACCGCTGAATCCCTAAACTCTAAACCTTGGAATCTGAAACCCTAAACCCTCAAAGAACCCAAACATGAAACTGGCCATAAGCCCGAAACAGGGGTACCTGAGTCAAGGCTCTGCATGATAAACACCCTGCTTGTTGTTGAAGTGACTGCTTGGGAGCCCCCTGCGCATTTTCAGAACTGGACACCCCCGACAAACAGCGCCTTTGAGAAAACCTCCCGTTTTGTAAAGTGGAATCACCTTGCCAAAATTTCTGCAAGTCCGTTGAAACGCACGAAACCGTTACAGCACCCTGCAATCACCTTTCTCTTCTGTAAACTCCCACAGCCCTAAACTCCAAACCCTCAAATCCTAAATCCTAAAGCCCAAAGCCCCAAACCCCAAACCCTTAAATCCTAAACCCTAAAACCCTAAACCCCAAACCCTCAAATCCTAAATCCTAAAGCCCAAAGCCCCAAACCCCAAACCCTTAAATCCTAAACCCTAAAACCCAAAATCCTAAACCCCAAACCCTTAAATCCTATAAACTCTAAAACCCAAAACCCTAAACCCCAAACCCTTAAATCCTATTAACCCTAAAACCCCAAACCCTTAAATCCCAAACCCTGAATCCCATACATCCTGAAACCCAAAACCCTAAACCCCAAACCCTTAAATCCCCAAATCCCCAAAACCCCAAAGCCCTAAATCCTGACGCCTCTGGCACCAGGGGTACCAAGCGCCATTCATCTCGTGAGCATAACGAAGGAGGCAGCCAGCACCCCCTTCAGTTCGGGTTGATCGGGTGAGGGTGCATGGGTTTCGGTTGAGGGTTTTTAGGACTCCGATTGGGGTCCCGGCTTTGGGTTTGAGGGGTCTTTGGTTTTGGGTTGCTTGAGGCTTTGCGCAATCTATGAGAAGGCATTGCAGGAACATCTTCATTTTGGAGTGGTTGTGTGTGTGTGTGTGTGGTTGGTTGTGTCTTCCTTGTTCTTGTAAGAGTGGGGAGAGCGGCGGGACAACGATTAGCGCCGTTCAGGGCTTGGGCCTTTGGCGCGCTTGATTTAAGGGTTTAGGATTCAGGGGTTTAGGGTTTAGGGTTTAGGGTTTAGGGGTTTAGGATTTAGGGCGTAGTGTCTAGGGCTTAGTGATTAGGGTGGAGGGTAAAGCCACCTGCTTCCTCGTAGCGCCGGCAAAAGCCAGCCAGCTCCTGCGCATCGGAGAGTTGCAAACTGCTCCTGGGTTCTGACAAGAAACCAAAGCAACTAAAGGATTCGTTTAAAAGCTCCTACAAGGATTCTATAAGGGTTTACGAACGGGCCTGGCTTACATTGGGGGCACATGAAGTCTAAAGTTTAAGGCTTAAGGTGTCAAAAACAATTCTGATCTCTCACGTCGCACTGGTTTCTATAGGGAAGCCAGGCAGATCAACAACGACACAAAAAACTTCTTTAGAAGCCAGGCTCATGTTCGAGAAAGGCTCCGCAGAGACCACCACCGGAGCAAGTTGAGCCGCACTCATGAAGTTCTGCAGTCTCCATCGGTCTCCTCGAGACAAGCTTCAGCTGGCAATGCACCAAGACAGACCAACATAAGGGGCCCTAGTCATTCGAATGAGGTTTTGCGGGGTATGATATGGTAGTGTAATGAGAACCCTAAACCCTAAACCCCAAACCCCGAACCCTTGTAGGAATCCATACAGAAGCTATGGGGCAGGAAGCCCAAGCCCTGTCCAGATCGCATTGGGATTTCGATGAAGATGGTGTAGCCAGCAGGTGCCATGCCACCAGCCTCCCGCATTCGCTGTGCGATGAGAGAGGGCGGCTGATCCTGGGCAGTGTTTCTTGGGGTAGTAGACTACAATATATCTGCAATAGGAGACCTACTAATTCTCCCGGCTTCCATTTGAGGGTTTAAGCAACACAAGAAACCTGAACCCTAGTCGCCAAGCCCGCTGTATGTATGTACGTATGCATGTATGTAGGTATGTATGTGTGTTATGTAGGTATGTGATGAACAACATAATTACACATATCCCTATGGTGGTCGCAAACTCGAAGGAAATCCATAAGAAGAAGCAAGGATCGTCTTGTGGAATGATGCCGAAGATCGTCTTGCCGTCAGGTGGCTCTAATCCTCGGAACTTACAGGGTAGGTCGGGTAGGTGTTCATCGGCCTTTCCGCAGTGGTAAGGGGTGTAGAGGGCCTGTACGACCAGGTACTGGTGCTGGGCTTGGTGGAGGCTGCTTGCAGTATCACTGGGACCCAATCGTAGGTCACTCACATGTGGAGCTGAACAGAAACTTGAATCAGCCTATCCTTTCGTTGCCCCCTACCTACAGGTGTCTTCCATGTGCTTGGAAATGCATGCAAGCTTTGCCCCGCGAATACGCTAAGCTCTGGAGCCTCCAACCCCTCTCGGGATGCTGAGGCAAGGATCATTACCACCTGACCAACATGTGGACCTCATTGACAATTCAGCAAAGGGTTCATTCATGGTCTCAGGCTGAATAAGCCATGCCAGCTTCTACAGTATGTTTCGTTATATCTCCAAGGCTCATGGTGTATCGCACATGACTCAATGACATTACATCCGAAACAAACACTCCCCACAACGACCTTGAACCCCACGCCAGCAAGTGACAAACGCAAAGACATGAACATAAAAATTGCCTTCACAAATGTGTAGCAACCTCGGGAAACATGAAAACACCCAGGAACACATCCAAAAACACCTCTGGAATGCACCAAAAAACCTCCAGATAAACAACCATCGCCCTAACCCAGGAAGGGCCTGGACCCAGACCAGGCAGTTGACGTCGATGACGCGCAGCCACAATGGATTTGCGGTGGTCTCGCTTGACCTTCGGAGCTGCATAGCAAGGTTCAAGACTTAGGGCTTAACGGTGTGAGTGCATTGGGAGTTCAGAGTTCAGAGTAGTAGCAGTAGCAGTAGCAG